AATCCAGGGACAGACAAAGAAAGAAAAAAAACAGTCAGTCTTTGCACCGTGCAGCAGCTGAACTGCAAACAGCAAACTGATCTATCTACAGCATTAAAGGCCATTCCACTTGGTAGTGCAAAGATTCATGGAGTTACTTTTCTGGATTCAAGTTTTAATGGCAGGTATGTTGCTTCAATGGTTTTAGTTAACACTTTGAATGCTTGTCATGAAGAACTGCAACTGTAGCGGACAGATTGTTGCAATATGGTCAGACTCATCTTGTCCCCAAGTTCCAGTGGTTCAATCTCATAAAAAATAGATGAGAAGACAAACCAACGTTTCAGTTGTAAAATCCTGCTGGTTGTTTTCTTGCATTGATTGGGTTTTTTCATATATATATATTTTTTTAAGCCGTTCTTCAACTGCTGGTGGGTAATCACTGGTATATACACAACAGGGTATATACACCACGTGCTCATCTTCCCCCATGGATGATACAATCTCTACATATTCTGGTTTTCTCAATGTCTAACCAGACCAGGTTAGGGGGAGGTTAAAGATGCAACACTAGGTTCGAGTACCCAAACGTAGTCTGTGGGCAGTGGTAAGCATTATGCGCGTGTCCCAGAGAGCAGAGGGCTCAAAACACCGGGAAAAGTTACGGGTGTTGTAACATCTCCAGGCACAACAGACTTCAGCTACACAAGACTGACAGCATGGTTCTGCCTGTGTCTCTTGGCAAAACTATTATTTTAAGAATTGGTAAAAAAAATAAATCTGCCAATGAGGAATGCTTCGCCGTAGCTCTTTTAGGACCAATTTCATGTTGGTTTGTTTTTGTGTTTTTTTTTTTTTTTTTTTTTTTTTACTATAAAACACCTTATTTTGCTCCCAAGCTGCAGTACAAAAGACAAAAGTGCATTTAAACAGCAGCACAAAAATCAGTCCAGAAAGTTAATGCTCCTGTAGAAGTATTTTGGGGGGAACCAATTCAGGACCTGCTGTTTTTGGCACTCAACAGTTGCCATTCCCACCTCTTGCTAGAGGGATTTTTTTTCACTGAAGTCTTCAAGAAACTCTCAGCAGGATTCCACAAGGGTGCTTAGTGCACATGAAGCAGTTATGGAAATTACAGTCTTAACAGTGTAGGCATCCGCATGAGCACACGCTAGGAGTAATGTCGGTCAAAGGGGACATTACTCCACCTGCACCTTCAAGGCAACGGATAGGCAAAGCCACCGCTAGCACAGACAGTGACCGGAACAAAAAAGTATTTCAAAAAAATAAAGAACTAACCACAAACCAAGAGCTTTACAGCCAAAATAACACACTAGCGACACACCAGTGTCCACAGAAGTCCATTACCAGCAACAGTACACTATCAGACAAGATACAGAGAGAACTAGGACTAGTAAGGACAACCAAACATCAATGTGCTGTTGTATATACAGTGGAGATATACAGAGACACATCAGGTACTGAAACACAAAGCACAGTAGAGTAAATCTAGAACTTCCTTCCACAAACATCTTTTGATTCACAAAAGATTTTAAAAGCAGGCTGCGCTACGCGCTCCGCACGCTGGGTGGGAAGAGCCTCGGACAGAGAGCGAGCCCTTCGTTCCCCCCACCCCCAGATCAGAACTGCCACCGATGCCATTCTGCTTTAAGACTCGGTTAGCTCAGCTTTCTGACAGGTATCATCGACTTCTTTGAGAGTTTGTTTGGCTGGACTTCAGAAATATCAAACTGCACCGTTAAGATACAAGCTCTCTCTCTCACTATAAAATCACCACTTTTTCCTTCTCTGTTAAAATATGTAGATGCCTATTGCAGATAAGTAGCTCTGTGTGTTTAGAAAAAAAAAGCTTCATATTTATAAAGGCTGCCATTGGGTGTTTTCCTAACAAAGATCCAACAAAAAGGCCATTAGAATACTTAAGATTATATGGTGGATCACCACCACTCGTCCCTTTCCCATCTATAACCTAAACACAGATAAAATAAGACCGAGGAAAATTTCTCTGTGCATTACTATCCTGGTCAGCCATTTAACTGCTGGAAAAGCATCCCCAGTACAGTACAGACAAAGACCGAAACCTTAGCAAAATCAGGGGGCAACAGAACAACAGAAAAATAAGTACAAAATTAGACTAAATAAAGATTAAAAATAGCAAACTGAAATCCAAATTAGTTGTGAACGTGGATGAAGAAGTTTTAAGAAAAAGTGTTAACGTTATGACTTGTGCATTGTATAGACTGAAGCGGAGATTAAACAAACTCCAAAGCATGCAGATCTCTCACTTACCACCATTTTTTTAAGGGTATGATGCAATTGAAGGGGGGGAAAAAAAAAAAAAAAAAGAAGTCATAGTAACCGACAAATATCAATATAACTCAAAACCTTTATGCCAGAAGACCTGCTCTAGTAACCGATTGTCTCTAACAGTACGTAAAACCTATGGCCATAGAGAACATCCTCCCGGTATGCTGCTTCATTCCATTCCGCACCCACGGGGCTCCCGAAACGCTGCCAGGTGAGCTGTAATTTTATAATTGACCACACTAAACTCCTCCTTTGGCAGGAATTTCCTTTTGAATTTGGAGGGGATCTGCAAACTCCAAAACCCCCTGTTGTTTTATATAATACAAGATTTTTAAAAAAACCCACCCAGCCAAGCCTTTCTTGTGGGTATAGCGATTATCTGCTTAGTGTTGCCCTGACATAGCACATTTCT